ACCTTTCATGTGAATTTTCTCTGCATTTCGCATTTCACATTTGATAATTTCCTATGTTAGAACGCCTGAATTTTGCAAATGTCGCGTCTCGCGTGGGTGGGCACCAGATCAAGAATACTGGGCGATGCCGAAGATCAAATTATGATTTGCATTTGCACACGAAAGGAGACCAATTCGGCTGTGTAAGGTTAATAAGCTTATAAATAAGCTTGCAACTGGCGCCTCTCCAAGAATCGTCGTGCATGGTGATCCTTAAATTCTCCCAAGCTGGGGAGGTGACCAGAGTAAGAAAAACGTGTCAGATAACTAAGCGGTGAAAAAGGCAGCAAAAATCTCAAGTTTACGGCTCCATTAATGCACCTGTCATGAGCTGTTTTCACTTTGTACCAGACGCACACTTACTTGAAGCAAGCGATCTCGTGAGGCAAATGTAGCTAGGGGTGTTGTGTGGATGCTGGTCTGTCGCACTAGAGCTTTCGAACTGGGAAAGCAGAACAAAGTGAAGTAAGGCGGTCCTTTGGAGCCATGCTTACCAAGTATTGCAAACTGTATATCATCTGGCACCCTCTGCTATTGTTTCCAGGATCCCTGCTGATTCACCGCTAATTTTTCTGTCCTAATAATTGCGTAGCTTTTGATTGTATTTGCTTGTTGATTAATAATTTTTATTCACCTACCTTTGTGTGGAACCAATTCTCATTAAAGTATCTGTTGCCCTGTTCATACGCTCTTACCACCTACTGAACAGGAGAGGCGTGTACTCCGATAGCTCTAATTGTCCCGTAATTTGATGCCCAGATCTAACAGTGAGCTTCCTCGAAAAATAAATACGGTATAGCCCTAGGTGATGATGGTTTTCTCCGTCTTCGAGAGAAAGCTTCTACATCATTTTGAACTGTCTTTTGGTAGCTGATAGTTGTACGGTGGCTTCTGATATGTTCTCGATCTGAGGGAGAAGCCAAAGTTGACTAGAGTAAGCTAGAATATCATGGGGCTGGCATGTGCAAGGGAAGTAAGAGACATTCTTTTCGTCGGCCTTATTCATTTTCGAAAAGGATCTCTCAGTTTCTTGGTGTTCAAGCTCTGCTGTGCGGTACTATTCCAACATTCAGTGGCCTTCAACAGCTAAAGTGATCGATCTTAAGGCGCTCAAAATCTCTGGACCGGTGCCCAACCAGCAACATCAGGCGCCCGGCAGCCAACGACATGACACGGCACAAAACGCCGACCGGAATCATGTGCTTCTGTTTCTCGGTGCGGAAGTGTTCGTCTGCTAAACTCGTCGCATAGATACTGAGACGCTCTTTGTTCCCTCAACTGGTTCACTCGACCGCTAATATCAGGCCGCCTAGTCCGCTATCGTCTATCCATTCTACATCCTCTCTTACATTCTAAGCAGATGGCAGCTGTTCATCGACGATCAGCCATCTGGCGGCTGTCATTGTACCGTCGGCTGCTTCATCCACGGAATATATATCATACTCAAAACGGGCGTCAGTACCCTTATGAACTTGCAACGTACCGCTTAATAATACCGTCGGTTGCTTCAATCACCGAATATATATCATACTCAAAACGGGCGTCAGTACCCTTATGACCTTGCAACGTACCGCTTAATAAGACGGTTCCTCTCCGGCCAAAACTTCTCAGTTTGGTCAGCAAAATTAACCTGTGCGTTTGAACGCAACAGGCGCTATTACTGAAATTGATCATGGGTGAATACTGCTGGGAGGACATATGTCTATTTTTCGAAAAGTAAAACCGACCGGGATCCATTTGCGTAAGTATCTCCGTAATTTCACACTGTCAAACACCAACGCATAATAAAAAAAACAAATCGGTCGTGTGAATTCTTCTCCTGGCTTCATAAACAAGTCTACAGTTGAACGGAATTTCATCTTCCGTGTAAAACCATACAGCAACGCCTTATAATAGGTAAGCAAGCTATTTTTCATGAAGTGCGTTTTCTACTTGAATAGCGCATCATAATTCAACTATCTGCACCTGCTTTTGAGGGCAGCAACGGGGTCTCTGGTCGATCGGTTTCAAGAAGTTAATTTCGAGTACACATATACCCAGGGTAAATGCCAAACTGATGACCACCGGTTACATTGTTCTCCAAGCGCAGGCCCATGAAGCAACTACACCTGGTTCAACTGCACCAAGCTGCTCACAAGGTGCAACATACAAATTACTCAAGCTTGTTTGTCTAGTACCACAATGCATTAGAAACCATTAATCCATTGGCTTCAAAACGCATTTGAAGCCAAACGCGATACTGCCAAGGAGGTGGCACGTTCGGTACAGTTAGATTTCCAGGGGCTGCCAATGCCTCCCGATAAGGACGAAACTGCTGAAGAGATCTCTTTAAGGTGCGCCATCTTCTGGATTCAATTACAGGACGGCATCTGTGTACAAATCCCGGAAGCTCACGCTAACAGGGAAGGCAGGAACTCTGGGGGTCTCTCGCTGACTTACTTGAGCAATATGTAAATGGAAAATTCCAATTCTAAGTATGTCACCCACAGTTATTCAAATGCGCATGTCATTCGTCTTTCTCATCGATTGTTTGTCGCAACGCTGCCGAAGAAAATGGCTCATCAACCTGGTTATCTTGAGGAGTGATCAACGCATCAGGTATACCACTTAATTGTCTCCATTCGTATGTCGGAAGTGCAAAAACTGTGGCGAAGTTAGCTTAATAATCATGAGGTGACAACCATCAACAAGGTCCGTTTTTAAAGAGTGATTACTACAACGCTTAGATGCACTCCAATAAAATCAACGGAAAGCAGTAAACAGAGTAAATCTAAAAGTTATGTGTTGTTCGGGCAGGTCTAATGAAATTTCCTGAAAGCAGGATCAGATTTGAGACATATTTTATCTGACACACGTATTCTTTAACTGTCCGTTGACTTATGGAGTTCCTCAGACATCCTGTCATGTGTGCGCTCGCATTCGTTCACCGACGAGTTGCGTGGGTACTTATTGCGCGCAATGTAATAAACTGGGTGGCCAGTCGTATTTGTGAGCTGTGAGAACCTGGTTCGAGTCAAGCATGTCATGTGATACAAGTTGTAACCGCTTAAAAGGGATTGGTACAACTAGCGTGTTTGTTGCCAGCCAAGATTAGAGGCAAGCAAGTTTTTCGTGTACTTTGAGTGTTTGTGGAACAAACGAGACGCTTATTCTAGTGGACGCAGGCGTGCTAGAAAAATCGGGCGAAGTTGGCTGAAGGAATAAGATGTCACCTGCTGAAAGTGCCCCACTTTCACTTGCTTATCAGTGGGAACTATGGCAGATAAAATAATTTTTGAGCATGTAAGTGAGTTTTCACAACTGAAGGTGATGATAACCAAAGTACCATCTCCTGCTCACATCGTTGCAAATATTCCGGTTCGGCCCGATTTCAGCCACAGTTCTGAGACCTCGGTAGTCAAAAACCTAAAGATGTCTAAGATTCTGCTCTTGGAGTGGCCATACGACGGCGCAGTTGCTACCGTGCCATAAAATGTTTTTTTATGCATAGTGATGTGTCCGTTTGGTGCTACGTGCTAAAAACTGGAAAGCACAATTCCGGCCTGTAAACTCGTTTAGTTGACCCTCTCCCAGAGGCACATAATATCCAACAACTTCTGTCTTACCACTTGAATCTTTGGACGCCTGCTAAAAAGCTGCGGGCTATTTAGCACACACTCTCCCACCGTGGAACATATGCGGGAGAACTGTCGGGCCTCTTGATTAACACTTGCCCTTGTTGCCTGCTTATGAAAATGAGAGCATTATCACGTATAAATTTCGGACCGGCTGATTTCCCGGCCGGGGAGATTTGAGGTTTGGTGTCCCGAGACCTTTCCTTATCAACCCATCAATAATATATTTGAACGAATTTGGAAATAGCTGACCTCCTTGGTGGCACAACCCATGATTGTTCAGTTTCATTCTGGCAGCGCAAAGTAATAACGCCGAAGAAACCCAAACAGCAGTTTCATTATTTACTCTTGTTCATGGAAAGTAATTGGAGTTCGGACCCGTAGCTAGATGAGTTTTTGTGTGTGACAGAAAATACCTATTTAAATGCAAAGTCGCGAGGATTTTGAGTTTGCCGTGTAGGGCCCGCTGAGTGTTTTCAATCAGTCTGAAGGTGCAGGGGAACCATCTGAGTTTTTTTTTATCCAAGTGATCTTTTCTAGTTAAAAATAAACATTTTTACTAGGGATAGTCCTACTCGTTGAACTGTTACTTATTATTCAGCCTAGTTTATGGAGATCAGAGTCCCCTGCCTTTCTCACCTTTCCGGGTTCTGGCCCCACTTAGAGATATATTAGCGTGACGTCAGACATACCCTTGAGGTGCATATTATTGATAACATTCATGATGTTATATACAAACATGAAAGTTTTAGAGAGTTCCTTAATTCCAGGAGCGGAGCCCGCCTTCGTTTGTTTCGTAGCCCGCCTGTGACACCTCTGACCAACTGGCGTGCTGCTAGGAGAGCAGGCAGGCTTCTTGGCGGCGTGGTTCATTTAGGCGTCTCGCAAGTGGTACTCCCCGCACCATGCAAACTTTCATGCAGTGAAATCTTACACCAAGACAGACAGTATCCGGAAGGAAATTCAGAAGATGCTTTTGGTCGGCATCTTTTACATCAAGGTCCAAGAGCTTCTCAGTGGCTAGGGGCAGTGTACACATATAACAATGACATGAGAACAGCAACGATACGTATAAGAGGATGCGTGTGCGATATAAGAGAGAAGATGAATGACTGACCGATGCCGCATATAGCTAATAAGGATGTGGTTTATTTGTGCTGGGTTTTGGTTTGCAGGTAGGGGCACCAAGTAAGCTGGCACCTTCGGTTTTTCGAAAGTTTCTATCGCATATCAAAAGTCTCGTGAGCAGATAACTGCAACAGGCGTTCACCGTTGCCCGTTTGCCCCGATCCCATTCCAAGGCGACCACTCACTGGTAACCAGTTACTTTTATTCCCCCATGTGTAGACCGACGGTGAGTGCGACCTTGCTGCAAACCACACGCTCGTGCCAAAAGCCTCCATGGTTTCCCCAGTCTACAATGTGGCCTCTGTTCTGGCCTGCCGGTGGGATCACAAAGCCTGTCTATTTGCCTTACCTGCCGCGCGGAGGATGATAATGTTCTTGTCCGAACCCGCCAAACAAATGACTGAGTCGGGCCTCGCAAGTGCTCTATCTGGACTGTTCAACAGTAACTGGGCCATGCATTCAGACTATAATCGCGGCTCTGAGATAGTCTTCTTAGACAAATGCAATTGTTAAGATGACAACAAAGCTTTCTTAACGGTACCAATTCCGGGCTGGCCAACGTTCACCAATGAACATGGTACACAAAACATGGTTATCATCCTTTTAGCGTTGACAAGTAGCTCTACCATCCCGTCCTGGAACCTTGTGTGCGAGTGGAACTCACTTCCATGACAAAAACCCCGCACTTCGCATTGAAACATAGTGATTCATATCAGGTTTTTGAGCCCATCGTCGTGGAGCGAAGCATTATTCTGCATCTCTGATGCAGCCAAGCGCACAATCATAACCCAACTTACGTCTGCAGAGAAGGACAGGACGCTATCTAAACGCATCAACAGACTTCTGAGCTGAAAGTGAGTTCTGTACAGGGCTACATCGGGACTCACTGTATTAAGGACTTTAAAAGCCCGCATCAATCATCTGCACTTGGCTACCTTCTTGCTCAGTGGCCTATTCGGAACTGTTTTAGCATGTCAAACCATTACAATAAGCTGGCCCGTTCTCTACCATCTCCTTGAACTTTGAGAGGTTCTTCTATCTTCAAGGAAAGACGCGACTTAGCCCCTCGCTGATAGTTTTGCAGCTTTGCTAGCCCCGGTGTGAACACCGAGCAGCACCTTAATACGTGACCTGGGACAGTGCGTGGCTATGAACCAATAACCGCTTCTGTCGAAAAATGGCCCGACCTCCGCTTTCCGAGATTTGATTCGCCCCCCTGGTTAAGGTAGCACTGACCCACAGGGCTTCAGAGAATTCGCGAATGTGATAGATCTCCGGCGTTCTTTCATACTTTCTACCCCTTCCTATACAAGACACAATCTCTCTTTTGGGAAACTGATCGAAATTGTCTAGAAGCAACCAAACACCATCATAACTGCGCCGTGCGGAATCTGTATAACGGAAGTTTATAGTCCCACCCAAATCAATACTTACCAACGAATATCCCCATAGTGCTCGATTCCGTTGCTTTTCCTTTGTTCTTGCTTTACGAGCTCGGCCCCAGTCCCCTGCAATCTCACCTTAGCTGTCGCCGGAAGATCCATGCAAACTGCGCAATCTCGCTTTTCTGTCCACAAAAAACCTGCCGATCATTGAGAATATAAACTATTTGAGAGCCTCTTGGTTGATCTTCAATCAAACCTCCCAAGTACGCAACCGTAGCTTACGTATTCCCTGTTGTCTTAACACAAGCCCTGTTGACCCGATTTCCAAAGCTTATTGGATAGTATTGTGCTCCCTCCTCCATGATTGTGAATGAATAGTCTGTTCTGTGTAGATACTGGTAAATGCGACTGCTCGCTGTTGTTTTACAGGGGGTCGACTGTACCCCCAAGTGTCTATCCAAAAAGCCTTCTTTTCTTTTCGCTGCAAAAACCGTTATTATCCCTGACCGCTCGGTTACGCAACAAAACTCCTTGGAAAGTTGGGTTGCTTCCAATAATTATATTCGACAATGATCTCACTCCTTCGAGCAGCAAATCGGGCCGATCAGACACTTTTGTCGATGGCTTCCAAAACTGAATCAACGCAAACTCAACCTGTTGTCTTTCGCCTTTATACCCCGGCAAGATACCACTGGTTCGCGTGCGACTCTCCTCGATACTCAACGTCACTGGGCCAAGAGGATGAAACCTGCGAACTTATTGCTACGCTGAGAAATTTCTTCGTTCTTGAGCACCCCTTGTGTTAGGATCCACCCTCGTTGGAATGA